TACTTACAGATTTTCAACTACATAGCTGCTGCGGAGATGATAACTTCAGACCATTGGCAACTAATTCACATTTATGACCTTCTCACCAGCAAAGTCAATGGGGAAGCCAGGCTCACTTAACAACCATGTTACTAACTTAGGACCTGCAAGGGATTCACTTAACAAATGTGGTGAGAAGACCCATAAAATGGTGCAAAGCCCACTTAACAAATTTCTCACTGAATAACATACATTCTGGGCTCCCCTGTGATCGTACGTCGAGGAGTACCTATATTCTCTCTGAAATATTCAGGTCTTGCTCAAGTTTATGGCTTCTTCCAAACAACTCGGCAACATTTTTTACAGCAATTTTTCAAACCTTGTTCTAACAATCCTAGAGAGCCTTAAGACAGCTTAAGCAGCTGTTTCCTGAAATGAAAAATGAAGGGTTCTCTCTCCATACAAGTTGGAATCCAAGGGCTTAAATAACATTTTTTCCTGTGGTTATTATCACCGGGTTATTTTTCTCCCTAGGGTCTATTTTCGGCTTCTGGACTGAGAGTACAAGGGCTAAGCAAACTGAACCAAGTTCGAGAGGACCCCAGCAAAGCTTTATAAAACGAGTACAAAAGTTGGAAGGGCTGTTTGTGGTGGTGGTGTGTAAAAACACTTAGCTAACATGATTTATGGGAAAAGCTCTTTGTTCAGCAACTTCACCTCTCTCTGGAATGTGGAGTTGAAATTATTCATCTCCCCTGACTGTGCAGTATTAGATCATGGACATAGTCCAGGGAAGGAAAACATACATTACTGGAAAAATGACCCAGGCCATAAATTAAATCCACAAGAGGTATAACGAGGAACAATGGCAGAATAAATTACTACATTTCAAATAATAATGACTTTGCCTTCTTTAGAGACAAGATTTACACTATCATATGCACATGATAGTGCATATGACGATATGTTCGTTGTTTAATGACCCCCATAATCCCTTGCGGGGTGGAGTTGGGGCAACTAAATGGAACTGAGTGTTTACTGGCCAGATGCCTTTTCTGTCGCCAGTGCAGAGTTATATTCAGTAGATACATTCCCATTGGGCCCAGGGAGAGAAATATCTGCCTCTAGCTAGGATCAAACTCAGCCTCCTGATTGTGAGGTGAGAACTCCACCTCTAGGCCACCGCACCACTCTGCATATGGCTATATGCATATGACTATATGTATATGGTGCATATGACTATTGCATATGACTATCCACCCCACAGCTCTGCCTGCTGTTCTCCTGCATTGTCTTTATATCTGCAGGGGAAAAAAGGCCAGGAGTATTTTTTCTCTATTGTGCAGAACTTTTTCCGACAGAGATAGAGACCTGGAAATATTTGTGGCAGCATAAGTAATTCGCCTTTGTTGTGGCCTGTTGGGCTGCCAGCCCCTCCAGCAGCCGAGTCAGATGAGGAGGCGGTGGCGTAGGAGTCAGGGCCAGCATCAAGGCAACCTGAGAGCTCCGAGGGGGAAGAGGGAATGGAGCTGGCAGAGAGAGAGAGAGAGGCGGAGCCTGGATTATCCATCAGCCCTCAGATGAGAGTCAACAGCCCCCAGGTCTGGAGGTGGCTGATGAGGAAGAGAAGGAACAGCTAAGTCCAGTGCCTGATGCGCAGATGCACAGAAGGCAGAGGAGAGGAGAGCAGTGGAACTCTGTGGGCTGGTCCTTGGGATGGAAAAGCCACCGCTGCTACTGAAGCCCCACCCTAGCTCTGGGGGTAAAAGGCAGGGGGCGGAGATGAATAGGTGTGACAGAGAGAGAGAGTGAGAGTAAAAATGCAACTAGACTTTGACCCAACGTCAAAATGAACATAGCCGTTAGCAGTTGTTGGACTTACACTGATCATCTATGCAGCTTTTCTTTTTTACTCTAACAGCAGAGTTCGAACTATTATTTATGGTGGGAGTGTGCAGGTAGCAAACACTGTAACATGATGATGATTAATTTGGGACCTCTTAATGTGAGCTTACAGTAAGAACTGAAGCAAACCTCTTTTTTTCCCCTTCTATTTGGGCCCAGACTTTTCCAGCTGTAAACAGCTGTTTTCCACTGCAATTAATTTGTTTTCTGTACTCAACGTCTTCCTACCAAAATATACCCAAGCCTAAATGACTATCTTAAAAAAAAAATCTTACAAAAACTGAATACATTTCAATCTTTGAGCAACAGTATTAGAAATCTGAAGATTTCATACAGTGCTTAACAAAAACCAAAGAAGCAAAGAATGGAGGAAGGCAGGCTGCATCCACAAAGGTAAATGAACCAGATTCTGAATTTGGGAAGAGAACTCTATGCCTCAACACCTTATTTCTCACACAAATGAACCTACTCGCCAAGTGGATAATGGCAAGAAGAGCCTCTGATAAAGCATTTCTTATTATCGATAACACACTGAAAAGTGTTGTTGTGGCCTGTTGGCTGCCAGCCCCTTCAGCAGCCAAATTAGAGGAGGAGGAGGAGGAGGTGTGGGAGTCAGAATCAGCATCAGGACAACCTGTGAGCTCTGAGAGGGAAGAGAGAATGGAGTTGGCAGAGAGAGAAAGAGGCAGAGGCAGAACCTAGGCCATCCATCAGCCCTCAGATGGAGAGTCAACAGCCCCCAGGTCTGGAGGTGGCAGATGAGGAAGAGGAGGAACAGCTGGGTCCAGTGCCTGATACACGAATGCGCAGAAGGCAGAGGAGAGGACAGCAGTGGAAATCTATGGGCCGGTCCCTATTTTTCTACTTGCATTTTTTACATGCTTTCGAACTGCTAGGTTGGCAGAGGCTGGGACAAGTAACGGGAGCTCACTGTTACGCGGTGTTAGGGATTCGAACTGCCGAACTGCCAACCTTTCTGATCGATAAGCTGAGAGTCTTAGCCACTGAGCCACCACGTCCCTCTGAGATTCATAATTATAATTATGAGTAATTATGAATAATACTCATTAATCATAATTATGATTATGGGATTCATAAGGCAGCATAAAAACATTTATAAACTGCTCCCTCGCTCTCTCCCAAAGGAACTTGACAAGTTGTTTATGCAACTTCTCTCCAGGTTCAAATATGGAGTTTATGGCCTTCCACACTATTCTTGTTGTAGAAAATAAATGTGATGGGTTTGGTTAGTTTCTTATTTGGGAAGCCCACCCCCTCCATCCCAAATCATCAAATAAGACGCATGTCGCTTCTGGTGGTTTATTTTTTTACACTTCCAAAATAAACTTTCTGACTAAGGGTTTCTTTCTGCAAATACGGACAGCATGACCTGATCAGCTGCACTTCAAGGCCATTCTTATAAATAAAATAAAATCACGGTCAGCCAAGCCAGCCCTCTGGCCATTAACAAGGACATTCCTTAACCGTGACAAGCAAGGTCAACCTATTTTATTCAGAGCTATGTAACCTTCGGTCTAACGGACTCCATTTGGAGCATGGAAGTGAGGAACGAAAGTGGGTTGCAAGTCCTGCCAAAGTTTTTAGATAAATCGGACATGATTTGGATGAACAGTCTAAGTTGAAGAGCATACGTCATATTACAGATGTATGGAGAGACTTGCTTTGATCATTGTGTGTGGTTTTGCTCTTTCTCTCTCTCTAGCTCTCTCAATCTCTCTCTCCCTCTTTCTCTCAATCTCCATGTCTCTCAATTTCTCTAACCCCATCTGTTTCTCTGTCTTTCTCTCAATTTCTTTTTCTCTGTGTGTCTCTCTCAATTTCTTTCTCTCTTTATCTCAATCTCTCTCTGTCTCTCACTCAATTTCTCTGTGTGTGTGTGTGTCTCTCAATTTCTCTTTCTCTTTATCTCAATCTCTCTCTGTCTCTCACTCAATTTCTCTAACCCTATCTGTTTCTCTCAATTTCTCTCTCCATCTCTCTTTCTCTCTCCCTCTCTCCCCCTCTCTCTCCAGCTCTCTCTCTATCTTTTCTCTTTTAATCACTCTCTCTCACACACTCTCTCAACCTCTTTCTTTCAATCTGTCTTTCTTTCGATCTTTCTTTCAATGTATGAGAGAGAGAGAGAGAGAGAGAGCATATCCAAACTTTTTGGCTTGCCTGGGCTGCGTTGAGTGAAGAGGAATTATCTTGGGCCACATGTAAAATATATAATATAGTTATTGCTAAAACTCACATCATAAAGTTAAAAGTTTACGATCTTGTGGGGACCACATTATTAGCTGTCCAGTGCTATCTGTGGCCTGTGGGGTGTGGGATGGACACACCTGCACTAAACAAAGCAGGAAAACATTTGATTCTCTTCCCTATTACAAATGCAAACATATTTCAATTTTCCCTTTCTCTCTCTCTCTCTCTCTCTCTCTCTCTCTCTCTCTCTCTCTCTCTGTGTGTGTATGCGCAAAAATTGACGGATATTAATTTTGTTTCTTATTTGGAAACCGCTTTTGGACTTTGTGCTTGAAGTGGAAAGAAAATGAAATCTATTCTACTCTACCCTACTCTCTATATAAAAGCAGATAAATACTAATTCTATTCCTATTTCCTGACAGTTAGAACAATTAACCAGTGGAACAACTTGCCTCCAAAAGTTGTGAATGCTCTAACACTGGAAGTTTTTAAAAAGATGTTGGATAACCATTTGTCTGAAGTGGTATAGGGTTTCCTGCCTAAGCAGGGGGTTGGACTAGAAGACCTCCAAGGTCCCTTCCAACTCTGCTATTCCGTTCCGTTCCATTCCATCTATTCCATTCCGTTCCGTTCCATTCTTATTCTATTCTATTCATGTCTCTTCTGCTTTAATCCTCAAGAAGCTGAAGATTAAAACCATTGTTTCTGAGCTGAAATTAAACGGAATTCACAAACACATCTGAATTCAAGAACTCTGGTTAGTTCCAACAGGCCAAGTTGAAAAAAAGGAGGGGAGGGGTTTAGGATGTGGCTTGTTCTGTAAACCCAGACAGCCACCCATTGCAGAAAATTTGCTTCACTGGAAAATGTGATGTATTTTCAGGAGATTATCAACAAACAAATCTCACCCGTCACTGCAACACGATCTTCACTCGAGACAGTCTGGATCTCCTGCAATTGGATTTCTGGACTGATTTCCACCTTCCTTCCAGACAATTTCAGAGAAGTTTGAAGAGTTGCAGGTACCTTGAGGTTAATGGAACCTGTTATGGAGAGCGAGGAAAGGATTCACATTAAATAAACTATGAAGCAAATTCTTTCAACCGCAGAATGAGCCTCTCTGCTAATATGATTGTTATTAGTAGAAAATTTGCTTTTCTCCATGCCTGTGGCTCTAAAACTGGACTGAAGAATGTAGTTAGTCCTCAACTTAGGGGGCGTGCATAAGCGCACCAACGTGCCTACCGTCCCTGTCCTATTGTTTCTCCTATTCTTTTATTTTTCTTATATGTAACCATTTCATGTATTCACAACTATGTATACATTTATACTTATTATCTTGTAAACAATTGGCAAATAAAATAAATAAAATAAATAAAAATAAATAAACTTACCACCACAATGGAGCCAAAAAATCTCTGTTGTTAAGGGAGACATTTGTTTGCTCCCCATTTTATGTCATCACAAAATCTCCAGAACCGTAAAGCCTACAAACTTGAAATTTGGCACGTATGTTCCTCTTGGCTTCTAGGTGCTCACTAGGAAAGGATTTTTCAAAATGACCATCAGAGCATTAGTATTTAATATATTATTATTAACACGCTCTGATGCTAAGGAGTTCTACTCCCTCTCCCCACCTGAAAAGAAATCTCTTCCAAATGCAAAACACAAGCAGAGGAGAGGAGTTTCAGTTTCGGTTTCAGTGCATCAAGCAGCTTTAGTACAGAACAGTTGAGCTAAGCCACACCCAGGCTCCTTGCTGTCTCCTTGCTCACACAGCAAATACTGCTTCAGTTTCCAAACAGCCCTCAACTCTCTCACACACTGACAGGATGCTAGCCAGATGAATAGCAATGGATAATGGTAGGCAGAGCACAATTACTCCCCCCCCCCTTATTTGCTTCCCCAAAAACTAAGCCCGACCGCATAGTTTCGTAGTGAAGCACGGGTATCGAACTAGTACCCAATAAAAATATTTCTGTTTTCATATCTATATGCTGTTTTATCATTTTTTCCAACCAGGTGTATATTTTCATCTAATATTTTTTAGCTTGTGGACATGTTACCTCCACATACGGTAATATGAACCAGATGTTTGATTACATTTCCAACATTTAGTAGATCTATCCTTATACATTTTCGCTAATCTTGTTGGTGCAAAATGCCATCTGTCAAACATTTTATTCAAATTTTCTTTATATGCAGTTGACAGTCAGTTTAACATTTCTATAGTGCTGTTATAACTTTGAAAGATCACTAAAGGAATCATTGTAATCCGATCACTACCTATAATGTCTTCCCCCACCCCCAAGGATGGTAAAATACCCGAAATGAATGTGATTTGGTCAATGATCCTTTTTTTTTTTTAAAGCAAAACATATTGCCCAAATGGCACTTAGAGTTGCCATGTGTGAGAGTTTTCTTTTGGTGAGGACCTGTTTGCATGGCTAATGGGACCAGCCTTACTCCTACTGATTACTTTAAATAACTCCATTCAGTGGCTGGATGAACTTCAGGCTCTAGAACAGAAGAAGAAAATACATTACAATTCTGGATCCGAAAACTCGGCTTCTGCAATTGGAAGAGCTCCTTCGATTCGTGCAGGATGTCAAAATTCAAGACAGCCTCCTGATGACAGAAAGGGGAACACGATTTCCATATCGGCTCTAAATGCGGTGGAACGTGAACAATAACTGGAAGCTTCCGTTGGTGCAAATAAACAAAAATGTGGGCAGTTGTTTTTTTTTTGTGCTTCTACAACAAGCACATATTAACCTCGGCTCTGTAAGTTGTGTAAGTTTATTTTATTTCTCGATTTGTCAAATTTAAACACTGCCCATCTCGTACGCTGGCCAGGATAAAGTTAAAAGTATTTTAAAAAAAACAAAACCAAATGTGTACACTTGGGGAAACAAAACAACCACTTCACAAAACGCGTGGCACAAGATAGTAGAAGGAACCCCTCAGGGCAAGATTCAGAAGTCCATCTGCATTTAAAAAAACAAAGGTCGCTCTTTTGAAGACAGCAAAGTCCACATTTTGGACAGGGAGGATAAGGTCTCTCTATCACAAACAAAGCAAGTGTTGTGGTTCGCAGGCAGCCTGTGCAGATGGCAGCGGAATCGGACGGTGGGGAAGAACGGGGACCAGTCCAGTAGTCTGGGGAGGACTCGGACGAGGGTCCTGCGTCCGATGCAGAGATGGGGCCAGGATCATCTGGGAGTGGGGTACTGACTCTGGAGCCTCCAGAGTCTGGAAGGAGTGAGGCAGAGGAAGAAGGGGAGCCTGTTCCCAGTGCGTGTATGCATAGAGCTGCTAGAAGGCAAAAGCAGCTGAAACAAAAGGGGCGACTCAGGAGTAAGGCTTGGAGGTGTTTGCCCCTCCCATAAGGTATAAAGGACAGGCAAAGGCGATGAAACCTTTGCAGGAAGCAAAGTCATTTGTTCTGTTCGGATTAATCCTTGAAGCTGTGTGTGGACTTGGTACTTTGGTTAGTTTTTTATAGTTCAATTGGTACTTTAGTTGTTGGCAGCAATTCAAAGGAGGGAAAGGTGGGTGCTTATCTCGAGGGACTGTTTGGGACTCATTACGGGCTGGGAATGAAAATAATTCCCAGCGTTGAAATAAAACGAGTTGTTTTAACTAAGCGTGTGCTTAATTACAGTCTCGGAGACCCTTGGTCAGAACAGCAAATCTAATAGCACTTAGATTTATACAGGTGGTCCTTGACTTAGAACAGTTCATTTAGTGACCATTCAGTTCCAACGGCATTGAAAAAAGGGACTTATGACCGTTTTCCACATTTACAACCATTGAAGCATTCCCCATGATCATGTGATCAAAATTCACATGCTAGGCCACTGACTCATATTTATGACGGTCGCAGTGACGGGGTCACGTGATCCCCTTTTGCGACCTTCCGACAAGCAAAGTCAATGGGGGAAGCCAGATTCCCTTAACAACTGGATTACAAAGTTAACAACTGCAGTGATTCACTTAACAACATACCACTCAAAGGGTGTTCATCCCAAATTGCATAGCTAAAAATCTGTAGAGATTCTCAGTCCTCCAGATCATGGTTGTCCCAAAGGTGCTTTTTTCAGGAGGCAACTGAACTTTCTTGTTTTTTACTTTGAAGACGTTTCGCTTCTCATCCCAGAAGCTTCTTCAGCTCTGACTGCATGGTGGGAGAATGGAAAGATTGATATTCCTTGCAGACAGCTGGTCATTTGCATCTTTTTAGAGGGGCATTGAGGCCACTTGGAGGTGTATCTGTGTCCTGAGTAGTGTAAATGGCTCTTGTTAATAAGAAAGTCTAGTTGTCTCCTGAAAAAGCACCTTTGGGATAACCATGACCTGGATGACGGAGAATCTCTACAAACTTTTAGTTATGCAATTTGGGATGAATACCCTTGGAATGGTGTGGGAGTAGGAATAGATTTCCAGAGGGAAAAAAATTGCAGACTACAGGAACCAGGAGTACCACTCAGGTGACCCTGAGGACATAGATAAACCTCCAAGTGGCCTCAACGACCGACCGTCTAAAAGGATGCAAATGACCAGCTGTCTGCAAGGAATAGAAATCCTTCCATTCCCCACTGTTCTGTCAGAGCTGAAGAAGCTTCTTGGATGAAAAGCGAAACGTCTTCAAAAGAAAAAAAAGCAAGAAAGTCCAGTTGCCTCCTGAAAAAAAAGCACCTTTGGGATAACCATGACCTGGATGATGAAGAATTTTGACAGACTTTTAGCTATGCAACTTGGGATGAACACCCTTGGAATGGTGTGGGAATAGGAATGGATTTCCAGAGGGAAAAAATGCAAGCTACAGGAACCAGGAGATGATCCTCTAAACGATCCACTAAAAGGATGCAAATAACCAGCTGTCTGCAAGGAATAGAAATCCTTCCATTCCCCACTGTTCTGTCAGAGAATCTCTACACACAAAGTGTTCACATTGCAGGCATCTCTGGATTTCCTGCAAGCACAAAGTACTGAGTGTGCATTTTTAGGAAAGGAAGGTCCTGCCTCTTGGCTTCACTTCAGACTCCCCCAAGTTCTGGCTTGGAAATACTGAGTAATCCAGCCAAGAAACACTGGCTAAGTGTTTGCTCCATATTTACATGGAACCAAAGCTGGCGAAAGACCTCCGCATACAGCCGATCCATCCGCTCTCCTATCTACTAACAGGGAGATAAATATTAGGGAACAGATGATACGTAACATCAGAAGTGGGTTTTTTTTTAACTCTAAAACATCAGAGGTTAATTTTCCCTGTTCACCTAAGAGCTTAGTTTTGAAAATTCACAAAGAAAAATAATATTCAAGAAAATATTTGTCTAATTTAATTGAAGCTGATATTAGGGAATGGATGATATGTTTGTTACCTCAGAAATGGGTTTTTTTAAAAAAAACTCTAAAACATCAGAAGTTAATTTTCCCTGTTCACTTAAGAACTTAATTTTGAAAATTCACAAGAAAAATAATCATCAAGAAAATATTCATCTAATTTAATTGAAGCTGATATTAGGGAACAGATGATATGTTACCTCAGAAGTGGGATTTTTTTTTTAACTCTAAAACATCAGAGGCTAATTTTCCCTGTAAACCTAAGAACTTAGTTTTGAAAATTCATGACAAAAATAATAATCAAGAAAATATTCATGTAAGTAATTGAAGCGGATATTAGGGAATGGATGATACGTTACTTCAGAAGGGTCCTCGACTTACAACCATAATGGAGCCCCAAATTTCCATTGCTAAGTGAGACCGTTCTGTGTTTTGCCCCATTTTGCGACCTTTCTTGCCATGGTTGTTAAGTGAATCACTGCAGTAACACGGTTGTTAAGTGGATCCCAGCATCCCCGTTGGTTTCACTTGTCAGAAGGTCGCACAAGAGGATTGCACAACACTGCAACCGCTGTAAATATGAATCAGTTGCCAGATGTCTGGATGTTGATCCCGTGACCTCGGGGATGATGTAATGGCCGTAAGTGTGAAAAACGGTCATAAGTCACTTTTTTCAGTGCTGTTGTAACTTTGAATG